TCTTGCCATAAGCCAGCAGTCCCACTCCCAGGTATTCACCTAAGGGAGATAAAAACTTATGTTCACATAAACACCTGTATGCACATGTGTACAGTGATTTTATTTAAAATGGCCCCAAATGGAACATGTCCTTTAGCTGTTACACGGTTAAACCAACTGTGGCATATTCATACAGTAGAATACTACTCAATACAAAGCGAAAAACTACTGATACCCATGTCCACACGGGTAACACTCTAATGCATTATGTGAACCGAAGAATCCAGACTAAGGCTACACATTGCATGATTCCATTTATGACTTTTTTTTTTTTTTTTTTTTTTGGGACAGAATCTCCCTTTGCTGCTCAGGCAGGAGTGCAGTGGTGTAATCTTGAGTCACTGCAACCTCCCCCTTCTGGGTTCAAGTGATTCTCGTGCCTCAGCCTCCTGAGTAGCTGGGATTGCAGGTGTGCCACACCATGCCTGGCTAATTTTTGTATATTTAGTAGAGACAGCGTTTTGCCATATTGGACAGGCTGTTCTTGAACTCCTAGCCTCAAATGATCCACCTGCCTCGGCCTCCGAAAGCGCTGCCATTTATGTGTAAAAAGTAAAGTGGAGGTTCCTCTTCAAAGACTTTCCTTCCTGTCTAATTAGGAATAAACAGCAACTTCTCTTAGAAGCAAAACGTATTCAAAGACCTGCGCTAACGTTCTTAAGCATCTGCTAGCCGAAATAAACAAATCACTGTACTTTACGTTCTTAGCTCCCACAATGTAGCCTAAATATTTGCCCTGGCAGGCTTATATTGGTCCAAGCAAGCATTAGGTCATAGCCTGTTCCTCTTCCTTATTTAAAGGTGTTTTTACCTTTCTCAGCATTCCACAGGTTACTTCCTCTTTCCTTTGTTCTCCTCTACCTTTGCCTCTTTTAAGAAATTCTAAGTTGCTAGCCAATCGAAACAAATACAAAATGTAAGGTCCCGTTCCAGCCAATAGAAACTGGACACAGCAGTAGGGTAAATGCGTCAGGTTATAAATAACCCTGTCCCCTGTGTTCAGTATACTCTCGTGACGAAACTGGTGACAAGTGTACCCTTTCTACAAAAAATAAAAATGGCCTTACTAAATAAATTTATGTTCGAGTACTATTTCTTTATGGCACCAAAAAACAAACATTTCAAACATATGACATCCTGGAAATGACAAAACGACAGGGATAGAAAACAGATTAGTTGCTGCCAGGGGCTGGGAGTGAACGGAGGCGTGGACTCAAAGGGATGTGGGAGAGTAATGTAACTGTTTTATATCTTGATCGTGGTGGTAATTGCATGACTATATGTATCTGTCACTCCTATGGAACTGTATACTAAAAAGGGGATCTTACTGTATGCAAATTATACCAAGAAACCAACACCAAACCCATTAAAGTTGTATGGTATTAGGCTAGTAGATTCTAAACCTGGTTGTATCTCAGAATCGCCTGGGAATCTTCAAAACAAAGAAATGAATCACAATTCCTAGACGCCACCACAGATTTTACCTCATTGATTCTACATTGTAAGTCCAGAAAGAGAGTGGATAAATGAAAAAAAATCCTGTTTTCAGCCGGGCGCGGTGGCTCACCTCTGTAATCCCAGCACTTTGGGAGGCCGAGGCGGGCGGATCACGAGGTCAGGAGATCGAGACCATTCTGGCTAACATGGTGAAATCCCATCTCTACTAAAAATACAAAAAATTAGCCAGTCGTGGTGGTGGGCGCCTATAGTCCCAGCGACTCGAGAGGTTGAGGCAGGAGAATCGCTTGAACCTGAGAGGCAGAGCCTGCAGTGAGCCGAGATCGCACCACTGTACTCCAGCCTGGCCAACACAGTGAGACTCAGTCTCAGAGCAAGACTCAGTCTCAAACAAAACAAAACAAAACAAAACAAAAAAAAAAAAAAGAAAAAATCCTATTATCTCAAAGATTCTCTAATAGCTTATAAAATTGAATTGTAGAGAGAATATCTCAAGTGCTGTGTAAATATTGTTGAACTCTAGTGAAAGCAAATGGTCATTTGGTTGCCAATCTAAGTAAGTTTTTAAAGAATATTTCTAGCATTCAAATTTAAAAGTTCAATCTTTACGGTGTTGGTATCTAAAAATCAACCACTTTTTAATAAACTATTATGAAATAAGCTTTAAACATAAAGTAAAATCCATACTGAAACAGGAGTAGAATGTAAATAAACAATGTTTTTACAAATGTTCAGAGAAGTTGTCATGAATGCTAATCACTGCCACTGAACTCAATATCTACTGAGAGTCAGCTTTTTGTACGAAGTTCCCAAACAGTTATTTATTCTACAGAATTATAGCAGAGGCTGCTGGGAATGTTGCCTGCCTGTACTGACCTCGGGAAAAGCCAAGGTACACAGTATGCCGTTAAAAGTCCCACCTTTCCCCCCATAATCTTTGCTTTCCTTCTTTTCAGCTCTACTCTTTTCTTCCTCAATGTGCTGAATAGACGACATTTGAAAGATGAGAGGGCAGACATTGAGAAGGAAGGCCTCTGGATACAGAGTAAAAATAATGAGAACTAGCTGCTCCAATTCCCTAATCTGTGCTTCCCAATTCATGCACATGACAAATGGTTAGAATAAGAGATGGTCGGAAACCAGAATGACCCATTTCAAATGAAGGTCCTGTATAAATAAGTGAGGGTTTGTCAGCCCAGGGGGCTCTGAGTGCTAAGAGGCATATGGTTTAACAAGTCACCCACAGAAAGAGCTGGCTGCTCCCTCTGCTGGCAAAGTCAGTCCCTATCTGGTAAATTCTGGCTCTACAAATGGAGCCATGAAAGCACACTATTAGGTCTCATTTTAAATTCAGATGGACTTAGTTTTATTTTCAGAGACAGGGTCTCACTCTGTCACCCAGGCAGGAGTGCAGTGGCGCCGTCTTGTCTCATTGTAGCCTCGACCTCCCGGGCTCAAGGAATCTTCCCTTCTCAACCTCCTGAGCAGCTGGGGCTATAGGCTTATGTCACCATGCTCAGCTGATATTTGTATTTTTTTTTTTTTGTAGAGATGGGGTTTCGCCATGTTGCCTAGGCTGGCGTTGAACTCCTGAGCTCAAGTGATTCACCCACCTCAGCTTTCCAAATTGCTGGGATTACAGGCGTGAGCCACTGCGCCAGTCTCAGGAAGACTTACACAATTTTTCACAAGTGTTAAAGAGTGTTGCGTAAAGGGGACAGAACAAACAGTAAATATTTGATGATTAATTAAGATTTCCTGAAATTCTTTTCCCTGACAGATGTTGGGTGGGTGGTATAATTCCAAGAAGTATTTCAATCCCTAGCCTAGATGTTAGGTATTCTATTTTAAAACAAAGAGATGAATGTCTTCCAGCAAGTTAATCTTTTTGTGCCTTAGTCTGATCTGAGAAATGAGGATAATAATTATTCCTAACTTATACCTAACTCATTTAACTCAAGTGAGTTTAAGTGATTAACTCATAAGTGAGTTAATCATTTAATGTTCATTAAGAGTTAGCATGAGTTAGTTTAACACAAATTAACCAACCTAACTGAGTTAAATGATCAACTCATTTAATGTTCAGATTAAATAAATCAAGTAAATTTCTTAGACCACGTCCTGATACATGGTAGATACTCATATTAGCTATAATGATCAGTATTCTAAAAAAGGGTGAACTGAGTGAAAGAAGCGAAACACAAAGGAATACACTCTGCATTCCAAGGTTAACCTGAAAACTTTGGAACCTTCTCGGGGGAGGTAGGACATGCCTCATTATTCCCTCCTCCCTTTTGGAATTCAAGCCCAGTTGACCAGCATTTACAATAAAACAGATCTTAAGACGGACAAAGCAGACTTTGTAGCAACAAGATACCAAATTGCAGCGGGACTCTAGTATGACATCACATGACAGTAAGGCCCTGAAAGTGAAGTATTTTACCCCAAATTATGTTTCTTTGCCATATCTTGAAATAGTACTGCAAAGTTATCTCTTGTGGGGAAAATCTACATTCTGAAGAGAATCCCCTTCCTTTTCCTGATTCTGAAAATCCCCTAGGCCTTTTTCCTGATTCAGAAGAGATCAACTCTGATAAGAAATATTTACAATCTATTCTCTCAATAGCCTGCTACCTGGAGACTTCCTCTGCATAAGGGAAATCTTGGTCTCCCCAACCCCTTATCTTAAGGCACACCTTCTTTTTTCAGCTTTTTTTTTTTTTTTTTTTTTT